GTCCCATATAAATTTGGTGGTCAAGGTCAAACTTTTTATTTTATGAGTCGGTTTTTACTTTTTTCGATAAGAGTAATGTAATTGTTAAAAAGTCACCCTCCGAGATTATTTCAGATCTTCTCGTTTCAGGGTCCCTAGATTACCAAATAAAACATGTTTCGGCAGATTTCAACTAAAATTGGTATTTTAGAAGTCCAATATAACAGATCCTAAATAAGTTTTTCAAAATTCAAATAATTAAAATTACTTTTTATGTAATTTATTTATAATGGCCAATAAATTTGGGACATCCCGTAAAACCGTTTAGACTTGTTTAATAAAAAAAAGGGAGTTGACCCTTAAGCAGTTGGTAGATGCATAAAAACGTGACTAGAAGTTAGTTTAAACCTCGATTGGTCAATAACGTCACGAGCAGAAGCCAAGCACTTAATATAATATTATAGTTAGGTTATAAATAGCTAAATCTAAATATAGTTCGAATGCATTAAAGTAGTCGGGACCAATACTGAAAGCGGTGAGTCTTTCCTTTATACAACATACGAGTAATACGGATGCAGTAAATATAACGAAGGCTCTTTGCGATTACGAGCAAGTGTTGAAAAAGATTAAAAAGGCCTTCCGCCATATTGCGCATCATCTTGAACTTGTAAACGGTTTCATCTTTTTCTGTATCCGGATATCGTTGTAAAATAAATATAAAAGGAATATTTCATTTTTGTGTCTTTACAGAAAAATAAGAGTCTAGATTGTGTGGGAATGTTTTACAAATATGTAATTTTAGAAGGATTCATAGAAATCACCCACTACTAATGAATCTATCGTTTGTAATTACTTAGATACAGGGTGTTTTATGGATTGTCAAAACTCAATAACCACTCTATATAAAAATTTCAAATATGGCAGATTTATTTTTCTTGTAATATTGTCATAGGAACTATAATTTATAAAATTTAATAAAATGATTGAAAATAGATACTATGTTCAAGTTTCTATTCTTGGTATTTTTTAACAGGGTTGGGATAAATCATGACTTTTATAAGAAAGTCAAAAAGTCCGACCTGTTGAATCAATTTTGACTTTTTTGAATTAATCTAGACTTGAAAAAAAAAACAATTTTAATTTCATACTAAAATAAAATACAAAAAACTTATTTCGTCAAAAATCTGAAAGCATAACAAAACATGAAATTTTTGTAAAACAAACTGAAACATTTACCTATTGAATAAATACACTCACCGACTTAAAATTCGATCCATTCAAAATAATGATTTATTTAAAAATGCTCTAACTTCCAAATGCTGAGGCTGATTTTTTAGCAACTTTTAGATAAAATACTGTAGTTTTAAGATTATTATTCGGACATCTAAAAGTAATTTAGTACTCGCCGCATATACAGGGGAGAAGAGAAAACAATTTTTTCCTCTACTTTTGACACACCCTGTAGGTTAATTCTGCTAGTAGATCTGCACACAATTAACTTTATCAAGAATACTGATTTGTTTCCAACACTTTGATTTTTTATTTACCCCGATATCTTAATTTGTTTGTGAAATGTGACGGTTTAAAGAAAATGCTACATTTTAGAAACGGTCATAATTTAAATGACTGTAGAAAATAAACAAAATAAGTAGAGTGCTGTGGCCAACTCACAATATGACAACTTGTCAAATATTCATTACTTGGCAATTGCAGCATAACAAATATTCATTATCAGCATAACATCATGGTTTTAACGCCTACTGATGCAGCACGAGCAGTTGCTCTGGTACAAGACGGTAGGTCTCAGTATTATGCTTCTAGAATATTGGGTGTCACAAGGTGTAGCGTCCAGAGAGCTGTACAACGTTTCAATGAAACTGGTAGTTTTTCGAGACGAAGAGGATCTGGCAGACGACGTTTTGTAACATTAAATGTTTTGCGAGAAAGAAATACTACTGCTGTCATGGCTCGAAATCGTTTAGAAGAAGTACGTCAAGTAGCTGTTACCGAAATAACGATTCGAAGGCGATTACGAGAACATGGATTACGTTCCAGAAGACCTGCAACTGGTCCGGAGTTACTTACTTCGATTTGCCAGGGAGCATCAACATTGGAATGTCGATAACTGGAGTAAGATTTTATTTTCTGACGAGTCAAGGTTTTGTTTACGTTCTCCTGATGGCCGCGAAAGAATATACCGAAGAAGAGGCGAAAGGTTTGACCAAGCAAATTTTTCCACAAGACTCGGTTATGGAGAAGGATTGGTAATGGTTTGAGGCGGCATAAGCATGGAAGCTCGTACTGATTTAGTTATTGTTGGCGGTGGAGCAATGACAGCTAACCGATATATTCGTGATGTGCTAGATCCACATGTAATTCCATTTGCACTGTTTATAGGAAACGAATTCAAGTTTATGCATGACAACGCTCGACCTTATATTGCGAGGATTGTATCTCAATATTTGGACGAAACAGAAATTCAAAGGATGAACTGGCCGTAGCCCAGACCTCAATCCAATTGAACACGTCTGGGACATGATGGGCAGACGAGTTTATAACCGAGTTCCTTCTCCAAGTAATTTAAATTTTTTCAGAGATGCTTTGGTCCAAGAATGGGATCAGATTCACCAGATGGAGATCTAATAGAGGGTATGCCACGACGCATTGAGGCAGTTATTCGCGCTCGTGGGGGAAATACCCGTTATTAATTTGTAATAATTATTAGTTTGTTGTTTGATTTGTTTATAAAATTATGTATTACTCTGCTAAAACTAAATAAAAAAATTAAGAATGTTGCATTTTCTTTAAACCGTCACATTTCACAAACAAATTGAGATATCGGGATAAATAAAAAAATGTTGGAAACAAATCAGTCTTCTTGATAAAGTTAATTGTGTGCAGATCTACTAGCAAAATTCACCTACAGGGTATGTCAAAAGTAGAGGAACAAATTGTTTTCTTTTCCCCTCTGTATATCCGGCGAGTACTAAATTACTTTTAGATGTCCGAATAATAATCTTAAAACTACAGTATTTTATCTAAAAGTTGCTAAAAACTTCAAATAAATCAGCCTCCGCATTTGAAAGTTAGAGCATTTTTAAATAAATCATTATTTTGAATGGATCGAATTTTGAGTCGGTGAGTGTATTAAAAAAGGAAAATAAATTATCAAAGCAATCTGTCACAAAAATAATACTAGTGACGTTTCCTTTCTGAAAACTACTACTTCTTTTGCTAATACCGCATTAAATTATATCAAAAAAAATTGAATTCTTAGGTTTATGAGCCCACAGAATATTAATAAATTATTAATAATAAACATAAATTTTCTCTTTGTTAAAAATAATGACTCAGTGGGTATTAACATGTTTTAAAGGTTTGTAGTTTACTATTTATTTATTATAGTTATTTTGAATTATCCAAATGTCCCATACCTTCAGTTAACGTATGTACATTTTACTTTAAAATACCCTGTAGATAGTATAAAATGTTTCAAATATGTTTTAAGTTTAATAAAAACTCTTTCTATAAAATTATGGTCACAGTGTTCTCATATTTATTTTAATTTAAAATTAAAATATAATGTATATGCAGTTATTTATGTTAATGTATTCTGCTGGGTAACATCATGTAGTTGAAATTCTCGTTATATTTTATATGCTTTTATAACAGATGTTTATTTATTTAAAAACTGTATTAAAATAAAAATGAATTTTTAATACCAGATTTACTGCATGTATAAACAAAAATCCGAATAGCTGCACGTGCAAAATGTTACATAAAAATACATGATGATAATTATAAATATCGCGTTTACAAAAAACCGAGAAATTAGTTTATGATAATTTTTATTCTAATGTAAATTCGATGGCCATATTTTTAAATTCGAACACCACTTATTTTTGATTAGATCTCAAAACCTGATTAAATGGTTAAATAGAATCTGTTTTTCTTTTTTTAATTAGCGTGTTATATTGTTCAACGTTCAACGAAAATATGCTAGTTAAATTAGAATAATATCTTTTACTAATATCATCTAATATCAACAATCTACGTAAGAAACCTGCAAATATTTGTTTTTATACTTTAACCTATTTTGGATATATAATTGTTTACATTAAAATGTTATAATAAGGACGAGATAAAATTTTTAATTTTTTTTTACTAATAGGAAAGTGCTTTCTCTAAAAAAATATATTAAAAATAAATTAGAAAAATGCTCGTAGTTTCACGAAATTAACATAAAATATTCAATTGAGTTAAATAGGTGACAGCTGATAATTTTTATATTATTTGAAAGTTAGTTTTTTATTGACATATTCTTGAAACAACGAATGGTTTTATAGTAGTAATTTACATAGACATTATGTTTAATTTGTAGTGGCATTTTTTTACATTTATCTCATTTATTATTTATAAATAATTACGATCGCGAATAATTGTTCAGCTGGTTCTGTAGTTAAATGGTTATATTTTTTCATTTAATATCACTTTCTAATATACTAAATTTAAAAAACTGAATTATCCTTATTCAAATAAAAAACTAATGTGTTTCCTAAATTTGTCCGGGGGCTTTTTAACTTAGATTACAATTTTGTCCATGCTAATTTTTTTCATTAAATTTTCTCATAAATTTTATTCCAAGTGGTTTTTAAATTCCACCACAATTTATCCAGTTGTCCGGCTAGATTTAAAATATACCCATATTCTCTAGCTAGATGTGAAATAGACGCAAATTTTTGTCCAGCCATATTTAAAATGTACTCAAAATGTTTGTACAGCTAGATATGAAATCGTCAGAACTTTGTCCAGCTAAATTTGAAAGTACCCAAAATTTTCGTCTAAATAGTTTTTAAATTCCGCCACAATTTTGATCAGCTAGATTTGAATTTGACCAACATTTTGTTCAGCTAGGTACTAACAATTTTGTCCAGCTAGATATGAAATGGACACAAATTTTTGTCCAGCAAAATTTAAATGTACAATTTAAACAAAGTACTGATGTGTCACTTTTTTTGCAGCAACTCAAAGATGACCTGTGCGAAGTCGTCTCCGAAATGGAGTCGCTCGACTCGGGCGAGGAGGGTAAAAACAGCAACAAGACCAAAATGATGTCGATAGGTCGGAAGAAATTCAACATGGATCCGAAGAAGGGTATCGAATACCTCATAGAAAAAGGTCTGTTACAAAATACGGCCGAAAGCGTCGCCCAATTCTTGCACAAGGGCGAGGGACTGAACAAGACTGCCATCGGTGACTATTTGGGAGAGAAAAACGATTTTAACGAGCAGGTGCTGCAAGCTTTCGTCGAATTACACGATTTTACTGATTTAATATTGGTGCAGGCTTTGAGGTAAGTGCAAAAAAATTGTCTAGTTGTATTTTGAAATTTGTTCACCGTGCATAGTAATTATTATACCTAAGGAAATAATATATCGTCGGCCTAATATTATGTATGTAATAAGTCCTAAATGGTTAATTTTACAGAAGAGCAAAGTACTTTCTTTACGTTAGCATATGTATTAGTTTTTTTTATACCAAAACATTTTCTTTGATCGCGGAATTTTGTTCGAAGGAATTTTGTTCGAACATCTTGTTTGAAAGTTATTTTGTTCGAAAGTTATTTAGTTCGAACACATTTTGTTCGAAAGTAAATTACCTCTAAAACATTTCGTTCAAAAGTAATTTTCTTCGATTTTTTTTTTAATCGAAATAATTTTGTTCGAAAATCTAATTGTTTCAAAAAATGCAATGCGGACTTTTGATTGAAAAATGTTTTATGAAAAACATATGATCAAAAAAATATATGATCTCAAATAGTTGAATCTAAATGTATAATATAAATAATGAAAATAAAAATATTTTCCTAGTATTCTAAATAGAGTAATAAAAAACCTAACTAATTTACCTAATCTGCACGGCTTGGAGCTACTTCAGGTAGCTTCGCAATTTTTTTTACATAAACTGAGAAAAAAAACTTAACCAACTTAACATACACAGCTTGGAGATATCGCGAGTAACTTCGCAAACATTCTTTACATAAAATAGGAAAAATTTAAATATTTTTAACTAATTTACCTAACCTGCACGGCCTGGAGCCATCGCGAGTAGCTTCACAATAATTTTTTACATAAAATGACAAAAATTAAAAAAAAATTTCCTAACCTCTGTGACCTGGAACTATTAAAACTTTTTTGAACCAACTTTGACAAAAATCAAATTTCAATAAATTAATAGTATTCGTCTTTTTTCAATTAGTTTTCAATAAACATTTAACAGATCAAACGGAGGAATTTTTTAAGTACATTATATCAAAAGCCCTATTTTCCTACAAATTTGACTTACACGTACCTTAGTGTGTATAAATAATTAATATAAAATAAGCGAGCACTTTCGGCTTTACAAAGCCATGTTTCTAAATTCACTAAATTTGTCTAGGAAGGATATTTTTTATAGCTATTCGAACTAAATAACTTTCGAACAAAATGTTTTCGAACTAAATCTTTTCGAACAAAATTACTTCAAACAAAAAGATTCGAACAAAATTCCGCGACCCGTTTAAACTTATCTATTAAACCGAATTATGGAACAATTAACGAAATTAGTTTTTTTTGTGCTTAACGACATTTTTAGTCATATTTTTAAAAACTTATTGGACTTTCAACATTTTTAATTTTTAAATAGTAATTAAAACAACACTAATATTAAGTATTTCAAGCGATTAAATGTATTGAACAACAACAGATATAGCATAAAAACCATTATTAGTCAAAATTAAACATAAGAACAATATTTACTTAAAAAGTAAATTCTTACTTTTAACAAATTTACAAATACAAAAAAAAACATTTATTATTATTTATAAATAAACGTTACTATTATTTAAGGAGGTCCTTTCGCCACCAATGTTAAATAAAAAATATTAGATTAGGACTAAAATTTATTTTTTTTCTAATAGTTGAAGTCCTTATTTATCTAATGTTGAACTTTTAACTATACCTTTAACTATACCTTACCGTGCAAATTTTTGAGAATTTTTTTTTTAAATGTGAGTATTTGTACAGTGTCTTACGAGAAAATAAGACCTCAACAGCAATTCTCGAATTATATTATTATTTATTGATTAGATGGAGTAGAAAAAAACTAAAAATAGGGTTGTTGAAATATTTAGGTTTTGTTTTTTACAATAAAATATATAGGTTACCTTGGAATTTATTGAGAAATTAATATTAAAAAATCACAAAAAATTTTCAACTAGGTTACTTCAAATTTTTTTTTAATATTAATTTCTCAATAAATTTCACGGTAACCTATATATTTTATTGTAAAAAAAAAAACCTAAATATTTTAAAAACCTTATTTTTAGTTTTTTTCTACTCCATCTAATCAATAAATAATAGTAAAATTAATTATAATTCGAAAATTGTTGTTGAAGTCTTACTTTCTCGTAAGACACTGTACAAACACACACATTTTTAAAAAAAAAATTCTCAAAAATTTGCACGGTAAGGTATAGTTAAAAGTTCACTATTAGATAAATAAGGACTTCTACTATTAGAAAAAAATTAATTTTAGTCATAATCTAATATTTTTTATTTAACATTGGTGGCGAAAGGACCTCCTTAAAATAAAAATTGTCTTAAAGCGAATAATCTTTATTTAAACTAGCCTCAAGACTCTGAAGGTGGTCGTACTTGATTTTTGTTCAGTTGTGGACTTACGACATTTGCATGTTAAAAGTCGTATTTATTTTAGTCCAGCTATCTTTTCAAGGGTTAATATAACCAGACCCTGATAAAATAGTCGACTATTTTTATTGTATCTAAATTTTGAGTGTTTTTGATATCAATTTGTCATTAATAATGGGAATAGAGTTGGAGAGCTCGAGAACTATTCTTTGATTATTAATGACAAAATTATGTCAAGACCAATTGCAAAATACACGAAATTTAGTAACATTAGAAATAGGCGCTAATTTATTAAGGTCGAGTTATATTTAATGAGATTATTTCTAGAGCTCTAGATGTAACTTAAATTAAACAATAAAATTTTGAAACGTTCCACGAAATATTAACTTGTAGTTTTAGACTGTAGGATAGTAACCGATTTAGGTGCCCCATTTTCGCATACAAGCCTCGAAGAGGGTTAAAAAGTAGATCGATGTTGAGTAAAATAAAAGATAATTTACGAGTGCCTCTTGGATAACACATGGAAAATTTTATTTTCCTTATCAGAAAAATTTTCCGACCCCAAAATGCACTTGTACATTCGGGTCATTCAAGAAAATATGTTTTTCAAACTAGTGACGACGTACTTTTTCATACATTCGATGGAAAAATCGGGCAAAATCTCGATTTTTCCTTAGATAATTACGCCCTTATTTCAACCCTTTAACCACTTGCGACATTAAAGCCTTTGGTTTTCCGAAGCCTAGTTCTGTTAATTAATCATGTAGTGAAAACGGCTTGCGTGGAAAAATGGGCAAAAAATAACCTTTCATTTTTGTTAGGGAAAATCGAATTTTCCTTGTGTTATCCCCAGGAGCCACTCGTAAATTTCCTTTTATTCTACTTAAAATCGATGTACTTTTCAACCCTCTTCGAGGCTTGTATGCGAAAATGGGGCACCTAAACCTGTCACTATCTCACGGTCTATTTGGCAATAAACATATTTGACAGTAGCCGTTATTAAATAATATACCTATAATCAAGCATGGGACTTGCTGTCAACATGCATGATAATCGATATGTGATAGTCAGTGAAAATAGTCGATTTATTTGGTTCTGACTGGTTGTAACGATAACGTAAATTGCAATGTGATTGGTTAAAATGACAAAGTTGACAGTCGAGGGAAATAGTCAAAGTAAACCACTTGAATTATAATCTTGGCAAATTATGCATAAAATACGCTTGTAACATTCAATGCAATTATTAAACTATATTTCTATACGCGACCAGGGCGATGTGTTAAAATTACCATTCCAAAAAATACATATTTCTTTTCTGTTTCAGGCAATTCCTGTGGAGCTTTCGCCTACCGGGCGAGGCCCAAAAAATCGACAGGATGATGGAATGCTTCGCGAAACGGTACTGCGAGTGCCAAGGCGACAACAACATTTTCGAAAACTCTGATACCTGTTACGTCCTCTCGTTCGCCATCATCATGCTCAATACCAGTTTGCACAATCCCAGCGTCAAGGAAAAACCCACGATAGAGCAATTCATCAACATGAACAGAGGCATCAACCAGGGCCAGGATCTGCCCAGAGAATTGTTAGTCAGCCTCTACGACAGCATCAAAGCTGAACCGTTTAAAATACCGGAAGACGATGGTAATGATTTGATGCATACGTTCTTCAATCCGGACAAGGAGGGTTGGTTGTGGAAGCAGGGCGGCCGATACAAATCGTGGAAACGACGATGGTTCATCTTGAACGACAACTGCTTGTACTATTTCGAATATACGACAGACAAAGAACCGCGAGGTATCATCCCATTGGAAAACATTTCGATACGCGAGTGTTGTGACCGTCAGAAACAGTACTGCTTCGAATTGTACGCTAGCGGTGGTGCCGAATTTATAAAAGCGTGCAAAACTGACTCTGAGGGTAAAGTCGTCGAGGGCAAACACACCGTGTACAGAATGTCGGCTAGTAGCGAGGACGAGCGGAGAGAATGGATGCACAGACTTACGCAAAGCATTAGTCACAATCCTTTTTACGATATGCTGGCCAATCGGAAACGTAAAGCTCAACTCTATTCGAAAAATTAGTGTTCCGATCGCGAAACAAAAAAAAAACGGTTTAAATCCGATGTTGTTATTTATTGACGATTATCATCGTTCCTTTGACTGTCACCCTTCATCTGTCGTTTATGTCACCTTCATTTGTCATCTGTCGCACATTCGTTTCTATGTTGTTAAATAATGCGGATTTTTGCCGTTTTTTTTTTTTAAGTGGAAATTTGTAAATATTTTGAGATGCAACGAATTTCGTTTTTGTTGTTGTTGATGTTTTTTGGAACCTCTGTATACAATTTAATAATTCTAAAGATCTCGTTGTTAACCGAGGGTTTATTGTAATATTCTAAAAAAAGGAACTTTAAATTTTTTTCTTTATTTTGTTTGTACATGGGAAATGCAAAAAGTGTGGCGAACTTTTTTGTTTTGTTGCCTATTTTGAGTCGAAGACTGTTTTAGAAATGAATAATTTTTTAATAGTCACACTTTTGAATAACGTATTGTAATTTTATTTCATTATTAAATTGAGTAAACGTATGCTAAAAAAGACTCCTTTTTTATGAAAATATTTTATTAAGGCAGTAGATAAACAAATGAAAAGCCTGCTAGTTTGCAAAATTAAAAGGTCAAAGTAATTGTCATTTGTCTAAAATGCCAACTGTCGTTTGTCACACAAGTGTCAAAGTTATCGATAACTTGGATTTATAAAAAAATGAATTGTAACATGGAACGTTGACTTATTTACGGAAATTGTTTATCTACGAGTGATATTACTTTTCATTGATATTTTAAATATACAGTGTAGCGAATTAGGTTGGTTAATTCGATTCTAATTGTATTTGTGCCTTATTTATCGTTGAGGGTGGATAAAAATTTATGTTTTTAATTTTTGAAATTGAAACATTCCACATATATATCGTGTACAGGATGTGAAATTATTGGAATGTGGTGAGCGTTTCTTACAAATATTTTTAATTTGAATTTATTGTCTTGTAAATGAAAGGAGTATTGTTTTCTTTTTTTTTTGTGTCGTGAAACGTGTGTTTGATGTTCACATTTTAGTTCAATTTTTTTGTAGATATGATTGTTTATTTTAATTTATGTTGTTTTTTCTGATTTAATTTATTTATTTAAAGTTGTAAAACATTCTGAATTAAAAGACCGAAATTGTATTTTTGGTGTTATGTATTAATTAGTATACGTGAGAAAATAAAATGTTGACGTAAATATGACCGAAAACCGAACTCAAAAAACTTTTTTTTTCTGCTATATCGGCAGCTGTTTATTTCGTCAAAGGTCTATGTCAAATAAATATTTGACGAATGACGTAAATTTCAAACGTAATTTATTACCTCTCGGTGCAAATATCAAATTAGATTATTTTTTGAGCATTATTCATAATTTTCACCGTGTTTATATAGATGTAATTACTTCTTGGGTCTCATTGTACTATACTTATTGTAAATATATTTATCCGTTTCAGCCATTATATACCAAAATGAAGTAAACGCTACTAATCGAATTATGTAAGTTTACCTCTATCTATCTAACCCACGTTGTTGAGCATTATTGTAAAATTGCTTATTTTTAAACAGACCCAACATTTTTGTACCTGGTAGAATCTATGTTTGTAATATACATTTATAAATATATATAAATTGGTTTATGATTTTGAATAATGTTTTATTTAATTAACATGTCTTGGATTAAAAAAAATATATAATAGAACTCCCAACACCGTCCATATCCAAAAGGCATGCAAGAATGCAAAACGTTATCTGTTAGGGTCCGATTACAATTAGAAGAACACAGGTACGTCATCATTTGGCAAAGTAATTAATTGGTTATCGCCGCCTCCTAGGGGTTTAGTGGAGTGGAAATATTGTTTTATACCTAACAATTTACTTATTTTTTATTTATTGATAGTTACAGATAGTTATGTTGTGACGAAGTAACTAAATTTTGCTCTGAATTAATTTAAAAAAATGTTTATTTCAATTAATTCCCGCCTGAGAACATGTAGAAGTTCCCCCGTAGATTCCCTCTCTTAGATTAAAATATTCTTATATTTGCCGAAATCCGAATGGGCATTTTGTAAAGTCGATTTCGTACCGATTATCTATTTTTATTTGTCAAGGTACAATAAGGACATTTTTTATATTTCTAAATTGTGAACACTCAGCTGTAGTGGTGGTATCCCCCACTCGGGCTTACTGGTCTTCCATATTGCTTTACCGAAAAGCATAAATTAAATGACATCTGGGAATTACGCCCTTTTTTGCTTGCCGGCCGCAGTAAGCTCTTCCTCTTGGTTGCCGACAGCCGAAAACTATTCACCCTTAGTTAGTACCTAGTGCCGTGATTTCGGAAAAGTTCATCGATTAACCCCGTTTATCTGCTAAGGTAGGAACCGTATATTATTTTTTTTATATTGGCTTTTATATAATTAGTTGGGACACCCGTGCAACAAGTGAAAAATTTTGATTCATTTCCAGGATATTTTATTTCATCCCTCAGTGAGAAACCGTTGGCAATTTTTATTTGAGGCTGGACATAGGCTAGACTCTGAGTGCTCTCTTTGTCACTATATCCGATTTCTCTTAAAAACCGCCCAGTTAACATCGAAGTGAGAGATTCGACCTGTTTTCGATTTTTTCTTTTTCGGAGGTTCGATCCATTTCCGGGTTAGAGTGCTCTCTCTCTCTCTCTCTCTCTCTCTCTCTCTCTCTCTCTCTCTCTCTCTCTCTCTTTCTCTCTCTCTTTATCTCTCTCTCTCTCTCTCTCTCTCTCTCTCTCTCTCTCTCTCTCTCTCCCTCCTGATGACGTTATATAATTTCCCAAAAGACGTTTAAATTAATTTCCGCGCCTCACTTCGTGTAAAATTTCTTTTAATTTTTTATTCAGCCGTATTTGAATCAGTCCGTTCCCCGTCCACAATTATTGAATGAAGCCAGACGACTTCTGTAAAATTAAATTCACACACACGCTCTCGATTGACTCTGAGCAAAATTAAAAATATTATTTTCTACGATCGTCGTGTCCGCCGTTCAAAACACCGCGTATTTAACCATATTTATCACTAGACGAAAATTTTCGCTTCCCATCGCTTTGTTATTAAGATACGAGGGGGTTCCGACAACTTTGATTTTATTTATTTGATTACCGTCATATTTAAATTGTTTTTAAGTATATTAATTTATTTTCCATAAATTTTCCGTATACTGGGCGTCTCACGATTCCCAGACCGATTAGCCTCCTGTGCTAATGAACCATAAACATATCCGTCAATATTTCATAAATTTTCCGGATATAGAGATCCATCAATATTTAAATAGTTTTCAATTGTTATAATTTATTTTTCATACATTTTCCGGATAAAGGGATCCGTCAATATTTAAATAGTTTTCAGTTATATTTATTTTTAATAAATTTTCCGAATATAGGGAGCCGTTCATATTTAATTACCGTTGTATTATTTTTTTGTAAATATATATTTTATTACCTATTCCTGTGTTTCTCTTATTACTGGTTCTTAACCGTTTTCTTTCAGGGTACCGTAGGGTACGAGTTGCAAAGGAGATAAGTGTTTAATTTTTATTTATTCTAGTATAGTGGCTACCTAGCAGTGACCGCCTGGAATTATTTTTACCTCCACTGAGTTTACCTTGAGTACACTCTGGTGTACTTCAGGGTCGCAGAGCAAACTGCGATACCATAACTGGCGCCTGAGCAACACCTACTCGGGAATCACCATCATAACAAAATGCAGACTCGCTGATTCACTGTAGGTGAACCAGGAGCCTGTCACAATGTATCCAAAATTCGAAGTAATGGTTATGACGTAGCGGTAATCTTCTAATTGTAATCGGACCCTAATGTAACATTACTATTGATTATGAACGTGAAATTTACCTGTCTGGCGTATAATTGAAGTTATTTAAGTGTGTCGACATTATTTTAACTCTAGCTTCATCGAAACTGTAACGTAACTATTTATTTATTTATTTATTAAATACACTGCTCTACAGGCTAAATGCCTAGTTATAGAGCAGGAAAAAAAATGTAATTACAAAAGTAAATATAAATATTGCACAATAAGACATAATTTGGATATAACATAAATTATACAACAAAAATTTCACAATATAACAAAAATTACATAATATGACAAAAATTAAATAAATTAATGACTATACAAATGGTACCGAAACAGCTTTACAATTTTTTGAGCTGCGAAAGCTTACAAGAAAGTAAATCAATTCTACCTTGCAGGTTGTTGCAGTTTTCATACATAAAATACAACGCCGTGTTTTTTAATAAATTTGTCCGAGATAGCGGGAGATAAAACATTAAGTGTAACCACTCGGATGTTTCGTTTATCGCTAGGCTAGGACTACCCTGTCATGATTCACGAGTGCTACTCATATTTCGTAGAACGATACGTTGAACTGGGACACATAAGAATATTTGGTGATTAGCACGGCATTTTCTTTCATAGATATTCATTCGATACGTTTCATTTTATGTATTATTATTCTTAACACCGATTAAATTCGATTCTATATTAAAATCAGATTTATTTCATTTAAAATTAATTAACATAGTTTACATAAGTTGTTTCGAGATTCAGTTCTTGGCACTTTAAATAGATACAAGTTGTTTTAATAACTCGGAACAATCAATTTGGTAGTTAATAAGTTTATAGAGGAATATTAACGACTGATTTTTTCGTCTACATTCTAAGCTTTGCATTTGAAATCTATTTAAAAGTAACGTGTGATTTACCCCAATTGGTGGATATATTCCGTCTATCTTAAATGTCAAGAATTTTAGATGTCGTCTTTGAACGTTTTCAAGAGCGCTTATGTGAACTATAACTGTATAGAGTATGATATCAATCCTTGGAATTTTCCTACCCCCCATCTGAGTTAAGCGGCGTTTTCCTAGCAACGCACATTTTACGCAGCGTAGAACGTAATACGGCCGCCGCAACGCAACATCCAACGCGTTGCGTAAAAGTGTTTTCCTAGGATTGTCAGTTGCGTCCTGATCATAGCGATGAGTGGGTCAAATAATTGTAAAAAGAAATTAGCTTTGGCATTTTTAATACTGCAAGAAGAAATTGACATTATAACCACATTTTCTCCATTTCATTCCAGATTGAGTCCTTTTTCACTACATTTTAAAATTCCTTCAGTTTCATATTTCAAAGAATAGGTTAACCACTAACGACTTCAATTAATTGTTCGTCCTCAGTAGCACTAAAACAAATTTGTTGTTTTTGTGAAGTCATTTTGTTGCAAATTAGGAGCACATTCCTTTTAAAACGCAGCGTACGACTGAATAGACTGCTCTCCGAGCAGTCGTCCCGTTGCGTCTACCGTATTACGCGACGCAAATCGTTTTTGCGCCCTGTAGGAAAACGGCTCCATTTTATTTTCATTAGACATGTCCTCAGCGTTTAACGCCAACCGAATTACGTTCTACGCCGCGTAAAATGTGCGTTGCTAGGAAAACCCCGCTTTACCAGAGAACTTTTTAACGCAGTGTCAAGAAAACATCTTAAATTAACATGAGCCCTTATCATACAATATTATATAAGTCCTGGTACGCGCCATTACGAATCTATAGTTTTTGTACCTGGTAGAATCTATGATGCTATAAAGAGAAGGTAGTAGATAAGATATGCATACAGAGCTGGGAAGAATCCTCAAAAAATTGATTCGAATCACGAATCCGAATCACGAGATGTGATTCGAATCACGGATCCTATGTCCGAATCCTTTTTGCAAAAAATAAGGATTCGAATCCATTTTTTGGGATCACGAATATGAATCACTGTCAGTGTCATACCATGCTATTATATATGCTTCTAAATCTAATATCAACTATGTGTCTATTACGAACGATGACTTCCATACAAATGGTTGATACAAGAAGATATTATTTTTTTTTTTTTTTCTATAAATATGAACCATTAATAGGGTTCTATACCCGTCCGCCATATTGGAAATGTTAATGTTCAAATTGCGGGCTTAATACTCACCAAAAAAAAATCTTTTTTTGTATCCGAGCTTCTTATGCATCGTAGATTGGCGCATGATAACTTTTTTTTGTAAACAAAAAAAGTAAAATAAAAAAAATATAAAAAAAGTCATATGCGTATAAATGTTATCATCCGCCATTCTTCATTTGCGACTGAACAACTTGTGTATTTACCATTTTTGAAGAAAGTAAGTAGTTTTTTTCTAAAGTTGAACATTGCTTAAAAATTTCAGAGGGCACCGGGAGATGCTGCCCCCAACGGTCCTCTTTTAGGTTTGGATACCATGATAATCAATATTTTCTATGCCAGATGGCCCACCAGTCGCGAAAAGTATGTTCAGTTGCCTAAACCAATAAATATTACAGAATTACCCAGATCTATTTATAGAACGGCAAACAACCTTCCAAACAACACGATACACAGACTAACGGTATGTTCCTGCGCATGCAGCTGACTGACGGTGACGTCACGTGGGACATAGAATTGTTAGTATTAAATTGTAGATAGTGTTTAAAATTCGATATTTCGCCGGTTTTAGATTTTATGCAGTTACTTAAGCTTTATTGGTTATTTTGTAATATATTCGTTTACAAATAAATAAAAAATATAGACTAAAAATATAAGTTTGACTGAAATTTGTACTTTCTGGGCATGGTAGTTCTCTTTAAATTTATTTTCTTATTATGTGAAATAAAAATAAGTATGCAGAAACAAATTATTTATATATAAAAAGTACACAGAAGATAATTTTTTATTTGGTAAATTTAAAATTTTTTTTGTCAAGTTTACTTTGAAAATATTCAAAACCAATTTTTCTATTCATATA